AAACACTTTGGAATAAAAAGTGGTTCATATGATAAGAGTGACTTTATTTGTTGCTGGTATTTGTAAGTTGTACAAGAAGAGATCAATAGTCCATCAAGAGTTTCGTCCTTTTTGGACCCAAAGGTAGGCGGCTCATCAGCCCTGTTTCCCACTTGGACGTAAAACACGGAGCTGGACACTCACTTTTGAAGTCAGGATGCTAACGTGAAATGCTCGTCAGTAGTTGAAGCGAGGGTTCAGTGCATGTACCACCTGGTCTATATTCCGAAACCCTGGGGTCACATCTGCTCTGCACAATTGCTTTCAAAACATCAAAAATGAGAGATTCATTTGAATCTCGCGCTAACTCCGATTCAGTTTGCAAAAGTGTTCAACAGCGCAATTACCCATGACCGTTCCAACAGTGTCCGATAGGGATGCGTATGAACGCAGTCAATTGCCTCACTTGCACCGACCTTCAGGCTATTCGTTTTCTCATACACTGTTGTCGTATAGAACAGAGAAGACGCTGCTCTTCATGGATGGCAAACCTACCAGGTCTCTCCAGTAAATTCAACCAGATTGGGTCAAGATAAAAGTGTTAGTAGATGACGAAATTGCGGTCTACTTGAAATTTTGTGGTTATCAAGGGGAAAGCGCTAGAACACGATAAGAAAAAGGATCAAACGCTTCGTGAAGATGGCCAAAGAGACGGATATACCAAAAAATGCCCACTGACACGAACAGCTTCGAAGCACGAATATAATTGTGCAATGCCCAAGTTGAAAATCTACGAAGCTCACAGGATATCAAACAAACTGAGCTGAGAAGAGTCAATTGTCATATGGTTTGGATAACCAAGTTCATTAAGTAAGCACAGATGACCTTCGAAATCACGGAACGAAAAGTTTAACTAAGGTTACGACGACTAAAAAAGCATCGGGAAGGTGAACCTCAACATCATGAATACTATATAAAATTTCACGATCTGCTTTACTAAGTGCACCAAAAACATAAACTAAAAATAGTTAACACAAGACCATGGAGTCCACAGTTCAAACGTCAAACACACAGGTGACCACCCTGGTTTAAGTCAATCTGGACAAAATCATGTCTAACAGCGTAATACTCAACGTGTACGTACTGGATAACTCTTTTCGTAAGTACTGAGAGAGTTCCAGATTGCTACAACACTCACAACAGATTACGAGTGAGCTTAGTGGTAGGCACGTCATCTAAGAATGCCATCTGGGCTCGTCTTCTAGGGTACGGAAAAGATGCAAACTTCAGCGGCTAAGATGGGCTAAGTACGGTTACTTAAAACTTAGTTCAAATGGCAGAAGTTCCAATAATTGGGGCGAATTAGGCCTAGGCTTCTATGTTCACGGGGCCTATGCTTGATGCTGGTGATACGCCTACTTTCGATGAAATCAGCTTTGGATGAATAACAGGAGGTACCAGTTAATGGTTAAAGGTGAAATGGTCAGTGACAGGTAGATGAACTAAAATGAGTGAATTATCACAAAGAAACAAATTACAAGCCAAAAGGAGGGAAATTTGCGCGAATACCGACCTGAGTTTGTGTAAATTCGATCTAAGACGCATGGGAGAGCCCGTAACTACCCAATCACCAACATACTTGACTGTTCAACTCAAAGTCGCTCACTGGATCGCGAGGCCTGTCTTTTTTCTCATACACACGTCGCATTAAGCTGACTCATCGGACATCGATTGTCTGCACCTCCTAGTCAGCGTAGCAACCACTCATGTGCCGACGCGCCCACGTATACGCACTGGGGCCTACGTAAAGGGAAACCGAAACCAGTCAGGACACACAGACTCGCGCGCGCGCATGGAGCAGGACGTCAACCTCTCTACAAGTTCACGGACAATCACGGAACACGTGTAGCAGCCATACTGCGAAGAAAACACGTTCCCACCGTCCGGACTTTTACCAAGGGACTC